GGATGTAAACCTGAAGACAGACAGGCAGATAGAGGTAGGCTGATGGTTGCCTGGAAAGGACATAGGGTTGCCAACTCCAGGAAGGAAACTTCCAGGATATTTTAGGGATGAAGCCTGCTGTGGGTGGGGTCTCAGGAGGAGGAGGAAGAGGGGGACCTCAGACAGATACAATGCCATACTCCCCACCCTCCAAACAAGCTGTTGCCAGTCTCCAGGTGACAGCTGGAGAGCACTTAAAGCTCTGGTGCTAATTCAAAGTGTTACAATGTATCGACAGAGTAGTGTTTTGGAAAATCTTTAGGAATTGTTTGGTGCATTGCCAGCTTTAGGTATGGAAATTCCTGGAGATTTGAGGGGTGGAGCCTGGGTAACAATTGTTGCCACTCTCCAGGTGAGGGCTAGAGATCACTCAAAATTACAACTGCTCTTCAGGTAGCACAGATCAGTCCCTCTGGAGAAAACAGTGGACTCTATCATTATACCCTGCTGAGGCCGCCACAGCAAACTGACACTGTTTGCCCAAAGTCAGCGCACTCTCCAAGAGCCTCTTTCTAGCTCCCATTGTATTTATTTCCACAACGGGCCTTATTTCTAGTTCTTAATAAAGCAGTTGAAAATAAAATAAAAATTCTGTGTGCCGCCTAGACCACTTCTGCATCTCACCAGTAGTACACGCAGCACCAGCTGAGAAACAGACCACCTGCCCTAGAAGATCCCGGAAAAGATGGCGAAAAGATCTCCTCTAGGCTTAATACTTTATTTCATAGGATTGCTTCCTGTGCTGCCTGCCTTCATTTCTGTATGGTACTCTTCTTAGTCCATGTTCTGTTTCCAGGACAGAACAAAACTTAGTAACATGCTGGGTGGGAGAAACTAGATGTCCAAGATGATGCAGGAGCACTGCACCTACCATCCAAAGTTCAATATAGCGTGGGTATTTTGAAGACTATGTACTTCATGCATTTATTAATTTCTCACCTTGAGAAATTTCGTGGATTTTAGACCCTTCATATGACACCACCATAATGAAGCTACAGTGACCCCTAGTGACTTCAGATATGGGTGTTAAGCTCTGAGGAGTTGGGGAAGGAGAAAACAGAGGTCAAGAAAGTCACTGACTTTCCTAGGAGGCAAGCTTCTCTGTAAAAATGCATCTCCACAGGACTTGAAGAAACACACCATTGGGCTTTCAAATGCAGACAGACATGGAAAAAGTGTTGGTTTTGTTTTTTAAATGAAAGCATATGCAACCCCTGGACAATGCTAAAGAAAATTTGATGAGACAGGAAGTGAAGTCATAAAGCATCACTCTGAGTAAGGGTTGCCAGGCCCATCTTGGCAACTAGTGGGAGACCGGGAAGACATGGGGGAGTAGCCATCTGCCAAAGCATGACATCACGTCCGGGAAAAACTGTGACATCATGCCCCTATAGGAATCACACCATCTGCCTGGTGGCTATTTTTTCCCCTCCCACCACTGCTCCAAGGACAGTGAGAGATGAAAAGCAGGGGCAGGGAACTTCTGACCCCTGCCGGGGGCTGGCAATCCTACTCTAAGCTAAGCGATGGAGGAGCTCCTCTACTAGTTCAGAAGTAAATCACATGCTTTGCATGCCTAACAGCCAAGATTCAGTCCATGGCATCACCCATTAAAAGAATCCTAGGATAGGCTTGGAAAGACCTCAGCCTGAAATCTACAGCTGGTGGGTCGAGTAAACAGTGCTGAGCTTGAACTAGTTCAACTCTCTGATTCAAAATAGCTTCAGTCAAGAGGTCTTCCACAAGAAGCCAAATAGGTCCTCTCCCAGACCATTTTTGCTTGGGATAACAGGGCCTCATCTGGAGCAGGAATGGAACACAGGAGCACACTCAAACCGTGTATGGATGTGTGACTATTCATAGAGTGGGTCAACACCTAGAAAGACCACTGGTTCACCTAACCTCGTATTGCCTACTCTGACTAGCAGCAACTCTCCAAAATCTTCAACAGAGATAACTCCCAGGTCCAGTAACAGAGATCTTTTCTTTTGTACTGAAGATGCCAGGGATTAAACTTGGGACTCTATACATATAAAGCATGTTTGTTACTCTGGAAACATATACTTTATTTGAAGGTTTGGGCTTGATAATACCTCTACACTGAGTTTTAAAAGGTTTTCTCTCTTCTACCTGGAGACAGGCATGAGTGGGGACATGAATGACATCCAAGTACTCCCAAATACTAACCATCAAAGGGATGGTGGCAACAATTTTTCTTTTCTTTTTTTTTATGCCCCCTGAAGGGGATTTTTTATTTGCATTTTCTATAAACTACAAAAACTACAACTAAAAATTGGAAGGGGGAGGGATACTAGAACCCTAACACTCTAACTATGGGAAGTGGGAAAAGGACAAACTAATACAATTTTTCTTTTATGAGCAGCTAAATCAAATAAATAACAATGCCAATTTCCCTTCTCACATAACATTGGGCTTTGGATAGTTCCAATTTCTTGTTAATAAAACTCTAGAGATTAATTCAAGGGTCTCTGTGGATCTAGTTATTTGTAAAAAGTGTGCAGCCACACTTATAAAAACTTGGAAGCATAAAACGTTCAAAAAATGGGGATGCATCTGAATAATAATCTAATTTGTGGTCCCTTTTCTAGTTATACTACCACACTCTAGGCAGTACTGCAGGGCAAATGCAACAGGGGCCCTTTCCACACTCTCCTTTTAATCCATGTTCACTATGGTGTCCTCCAAGCAATTCTGCACTAAAATTGAATTCAGCCTTCTTTTTATTCTGTTTATTCCCCCCCCCCCGGTTCTGCATTACGTTACCTCCCTTCAGTGGCTGGCCCACTTTCAGCCCGTTGTTGCCCCAGGTTTTTTGGATGCTGTTTTGCCATGGACTTAAATCACCTTGACTCAAGCACTGAGAAAATCTGCGGAAAGGACATGGGTTTCAAGAGGAGGAGGCCAGGTCTTTGTTAGAGCTGTGGTTTGTTGATGTTATATTTCATTCAGTGACCAGTGCTTTGTTTTGCAGTTTCTGCACTTGCAGCTCTCCTCATAATCAGTTTGCAGCGCTACAGAAGGAAGCCACTTAGTGGCAGTAGGCAGTTGATCAGGACAGTAATTCAAAGGAGATACCACATCTACTATGGTAGCTGCTAAAAGGATAACTCCTTTCCCATCATATAGGGTTGTCAGCCCCGCACCAGAAAATGCTAGGGGATTCATAGGGCAGTGCCTGGGGAGGGTAGAGTTCCAATGGAATTTATTTATTTATTTATTTAATTTTCGACTTATATACCGCTCTGACCCTGAAGGGTCTCTGAGTGGTTTACACAGCTGTTTATCCCTGCATCACTTTAATTGCATCACTTCTGGGTGACACTCCAGGAATTTACCACAGAGATTGGGGGGAATGTCTAGAGCTTCACCATCAATGCCACTCCCTTTTCTTCCTCTCCTTAAATTAGCAAGGGTGGGGGACTGAGAGTGGAAGAGGTAGAAGACTGTCTGGTGCCACCAGACGAATGGCCAGCCTACCACGATAAGTTCATATTCTTCTTCTCAAAAACTGGCAGGGGGATGAGTAAAGGAAAGGTATGTGGATCTGACATTACAGAGACACTAGGAAGGAATTTAAGGTATTTTCAGTGGTATTGAAAAATGAGAACCTGGCATTCGAGGCTGGATGAGAGTCATGGATGGAAGAGCAGCAGATGGCTGGGGTAGAGAGGTTAAGGCTTTGTAAAAACATTATTTGTGAAGGAAGAGCTGGGGTAACCACTGCTAATTGACAACAGAAGTGGAACTAATGTGAGCAGGTAAAGAAACAAATGCTGGGATTGATCAAGAAGCACCAAATCTGGGAACTCTGTGATCTAGTTGGGAAGCAACTATTTCAGCACGATGTAATAGTCTGAACACATTTGATAACTTAGTGTTTTAATCAAATTATTATTATTAATAATAATAATAATAATAATAATAATAATGTGCATTCACAAAATTAATTATGTATTTTATTTGTATTGCCATCTTTTATTTTACGTTACTATTGCTTGTTCAGAGTTCTGTGTTATGTATGTCTGTTGTACTATCTTTACAGTTTTGTATTCTTTGAGTAACAGGTACCTGGCATCATAACAACCACTATTCATCCCAGAAAAACCTAATTTAATCTCAGAAATGAAAAAAGCTCTAGGTGGGAGACCACTTGTGTACTCCAAGGATGATGATCTGGTCATATTGAGCAAAAGAGAAGGATAACACACTTTATTCTGGGGTATCAAAACTACCACAGTACTCTTTGTACAAACCTTGTGAATGTGAAGTTCTCCAGGATGGGTGGTCTCCACATTGCCACCAGCCTCAGCAGCAAGATCTACGATTACTGAGCCATCCTTCATGGACTCGACCATACTCTTGGTTATCAGGATGGGAGCCCTTTTCCCTATAGTACATTGCAAAAGAACAGAAAACAAATACTGGATTTCTCATCCCCTCAATAGCTTTATATGACACATACTCTTTTACAAAGCCCAAGAAGATGCAACAAAAACACAAGATTTGAGATTAAACATAATTGGGAAATAGTGATGTTCAATGCTTCGCCTCACCAACAGTTGTTTTTTTTTAAAGGACTTTCCATTTAAATAATAAGAACTTGTTTTCAGCTATGACAAGGTGCCCTGACCTGTAGCCCAGCCTAACCTGTTTTCATCAGATACTGGAAGCTAAGTAGGGTCAGCTCGGGTTACTATTTGGATGGGAGACCAACAGGGAAGTCTGCAGAGGCAGGCAATGGCAAACCACCTCTGAACATCTCTTGCCTTGAAAATTGTATAGGGTCACCATTAAGTCAGCTGCAACCTGACAGCACAACCTAACAACTAACAACCTAAAACCTCTTCAGGTTGGGCATGGATCTTTCCCTGCCAGGCTGATTTTCCCATCCATGATCTCACAGCTTCACCTCTACCCACAAATTGGCTGGGAAGGCTGTAGCCTTACTTAGAAATCTGGAGCCCTACCACTAGTAAAAAAAGGTTGGCTGTGATCCTTATGGGGAATGATTTCTTTTGCCACAATTCCTGTATTTCTTCATATTTGGTGGAGGTGGAGAGGTTGTTGGCCAGAGGTAGGAACAATGCAAGTGAAGGCTTGATGCACCATACAAGTAGTGTTGACAAGTCACACTCGAGAGAACCCTGCTGTCTCTTTGGCACCTTTTTGACTTGCTTACTGAAGTTCTTTTTCTTGCACTTTGCACAAGTCTTCAGAGAAGGAGAGACGGTGGTCTGAGACCCTCTTCCTGGTTCCCTCTACAAAGTGACTGATTGCTCTTCTCAGAAGTCTGGCACAAAATGAAGCCTTGGCACCTCTCCCCAATGTGTTCTGCATCTTGTCTCTCAGAGCTAGGCTTTGGCAGATTCTGCATGAATCTCTCTTCTTCTGTTTCTCCAACCCCAGTGCAAAGTGGGAGAGAGAGAGCAACCCTCTGTGAGTGCTAAAGAACTTGGGGAAGAGGAAAGCTCTTGCTGTGCTCAGCAGACAAAAGAGCCTCCCAAGTCCCAACCCAAGATCCCCGTTGTTCCCAGAGAACTCAGAAGGGGGGTAGTTTCTATTAACATGGGACTGCACCGACTCCTGATTAGGATTGTATTCTTCTAAGAGTGCCTACAATTCTTATAAAGTTATACGGTACCTGGAATAAGAGCAGTGCTAATAACAATATCCACGTCTTTACACTGTTTGGCAAATAATGCCATTTCTGCCTCAATAAACTCCTTGGACATCTCCTTTGCATATCCCCCGACGCCTTCTCCTCCTTCAGCCATGTCAACTTCTAAAGGCTCTGCACCAAGGGATTTGAACTGTTCCAAAGCCGGGGGCCTGCAAGCAAAAGGCAGACAAAACCGGACATTTTCCAGGCTGCAGATAGTTGATGACACCAACAATACACACTTTGTAATAAATTACAGAGGGGTAAATGTGTGTCAGTCACTTACAGCAAAACACAAAAAGGAATCCAGGCTAATGGATTCATTATGTCATGAATCTGTAGGGCTTCTGTCCCCTGGACTTTCAACAGTGAAGAAAACAAGAATTGCCACACCAGTAGGCAGGGAAAAACAGGTGGAAAAATTATTTAGTACTTATGGATCCCTATGTGTCTCACAATTCGCTTCATCATAGAATCATAGAGTTGGAAGTTTCAAGCAAGAAGAAGAAGAAGAGGAGGAGGAGGAGATTGAGGGGTTTACAGTCTCCTTTCCCTTCCCCTCCCCACAACAGACACCCTGTGAGGCAGGTGGGGCTGAGAGAGCTCTTTCGAGGGCTGCTCTTGAGAGAACAGCTCTGAAGGAACTTATGACTGACCCAAGGTCACACCAGCAGCTGCATGTGGAGGAGAGGGGACTCAAACCTGGTTCTCCCAGATTAGAGTCCGCGCTCCTAACCACTACACCAAACTGGCTCTACTACACCAAACAAAACCACTACACCAAACAAACACTTTTCCATTTTACTCCTGCCTGACTCTCAATTAATTTCTACTGTGCTTGAAAACATGGTGGTACCAGTGGGATTGAGAAGGGGGAAGCATAAGCACCCTCTCCCCTCATGCTATGGTGGGGAACTTGCAAGTGTGCATCTGACTGATGGTTCTTTGTGGTGGACAAACAGACTTGGCCCCCAGCCTGGGTATTTCAACCCATTGTTGGTTGGGTTTGGACACAGTGTGGGCTGCAGATGGGTGTGGGCTCAGTTTGTGTTACAAAAAGTTACCATACCTGGTGTCAAATCCTCGGACAATGGCTCCCATTGATTTGGCTGCTCCAGCTGCAGCCAAGCCTGCCACACCCCCTCCAATTACCAGAATCTAGAAAGAAAGGAAGAATTACAGGAGTAGCACTATTTAGGAGCCCAATTCACCACACCAAGGAATGTGGAATTCATCACCACCGGATGCAGTGGTGGCTGCCGCTTGCCTTAGTGGTTTGAGGCTACTCTGGTCTTTGGAACAGTAGCCATGGTGGCTAAATAGAAACTTGTGGGTTCAGAGGCAGTGTGCTAGTTGCCAGGGACAACACCAACTGGAAAGCTGACCTCTGTACCCTGCTTGTAGTCCTTCTAGTAGCATCAGGTCGGTCTCTTGGGGGGAAAGAGAACAGTGGCTTAGAAGGGCCTTTGATATGATCCAGCAGAGCTCTTCTCAAGTCAGGTGCAACAAGAGAGTGGGGTCTCCCATATGTTTACGTATAAGTATAGTTGAAGGAATTTTAGCAGAGTAGCAGAAAAGCTGCACCTGCCAAAGCTTTCTCTTTGACACAGTAATAATAAATGATAACCACTAGGTTTCGAGTCTTCTATTACTGATTACTGCCAACAAGGTGTAGTGGCTAGACTTTTGGACCAGGATCTGGGAGACAGGGTCTGCTTCCACACACATTGAATAATGTACTGTCAATGCACTTTAGTGACCGTTTGCAAGTGCATTTTCCTTTTCTCACTGGAAAATCCAGTTGAAAACGATCACTAAAGTGCATTGAAAGTGCATTATCCCACAGTGTGAGAAAGCAGCCCCAGTTACAATGGAACTGTCATGTACTTTAACTTGGCAGAATGCCTGATTTTGAACAAACAAGTAGTTCTGCTTCCAGTAGGCTTTCTTTTTGGCTGCCAATAGATGTTGGGGATTTTTTTTTTTTTAAGTTTGGTTCTTTTTTTTAACAATTTTATTTTATACATAAGGCAAACAAAGAAAAAACAAACATACATACAACAAAAAGGGGACTCAGTTTACAACATTATTGTGTCTGTTAAATTACCTCATACATTGACAAATTGTATTTTTAATTTTTTTTCTTTGTTTTTAACTAAAAAGATAGTTGTAGTTCATGTTTCCTTGTACTTCGGTTGTATGTCCAGGGGTCATTTCCTGCAGGAGTGCACCAGAGCGGAGCTCCGGCAGTAAAGAGCCTAGGGGGCGGGCACAGGCAACAAGCCCCATCCCCTGCTCCCAGCAGCCCTCAGTCAGAGCAAGAAGCAGCCAGGTAAGCTGCAGAGCCCCCCCCCAGCCCCCCGGTCCAAAACAGTCCAGTGGCACCTTTAAGACCAATTTGTATTCAGGTACAAGCTCTCTCTCCTCTGCGAGGACAGATCTGCACGTTCCCCCCCTCCCAATAGCTAGCAATCCAAAACAGTCCAGTGGAGCCTGAGCGGTGGGTGTTGCCATCTGACACACTTCCGGTGATGTCAGGGGGTGTGGCATATGCAAATATGTTATGCTAATGAGCTATGCTAATGAGCTCCTGCACCTCTTTTTCTACAAAATGACCCCCATGTATGTACATATGATTTATTTGTTGGTCTCTTCCATCCAATTGTAAAATCTTGACCATGTATTCTCAAAGTTTATTTCATTTTGTCCTTGCAAAATTAAAGTTAATTTATCTATCTCTGCAGTTTCAAGTATTTTATTCATAATTACTTCTTTTAAAGGAACCTCATTTTTCCTCCAGTATTTGGCATATAATATTCTTGCAGTTGTCACTACATGTACAATAAGATAAGAATCTTGCTTTTTACAATTTTCTGGTAATATATTCAATAAAAACGACTCTGGTACATAAGGTATTTTACATTTTAACATTTTTTGTAACAATTCATGAATCCAAGACCAATATTTTTGACTCTATCACATTTTTTTTTTTAGTTTGGGTTCTGAATGTGTGAGGTGCTAGAAAGCGCAGATGAGTGAGTGCTTGGAAAGAGCTGGAATTGGGGGCCTGCATTGATTCCATCTTGGTAGCACAACTGCAATGTAAACTGCCATATATTTAACGTTTTGTAAATATGTTAACATTTGTATACTAGCAAAACTAGTTCAGCGCAGAGGCAAATGATATGAGTCTCAACGGTTGTTTAAACATTCACTCCAAGGGAAATCATGTTACGATACATACCTTTGCTGGAGGAACCTTTCCAGCTGCAGTAATTTGCCCAGTGAAAAATCTTCCAAAATGATTGGCTGCTAGGACTACAGCTTTGTACCTAGAAAGGGGGGGGGGGAGAGAGAAAGCCAAAAGGTACATATTGGCTCATTACCATGTAGCAGGAATAAATTTCTACAAACTTACAGAAAGCAATCAAAGGGACAATTAATAGGCAACCGAAGAAAACAAACTGCTATATTGCAACTCTAGCAAATAAACTGCCTAAGTGAAAAAATAAATTCAGCTGTCATAACAATTTATATCAATGCTTATAACATACTTGCAAGTGCCTAATAGAAGATTATTTTGGGGGGGCGGGAGACATACTAAGGGTGTGGCATAAGGTAGAGAATGAAATGTTTATTGCAGTCCTGTTAACCTTGGCTGATGTTAAGAATGGGGGTCAGCTCTGGCCCGTAGCTAACATGGGGCCCACGGGGCCCGGCCCCCTACTGTTTCTTCTGGGCCCTCTCCCTCTCAGGCTGCCCCCGAAGTGCTTCAACTTACCACCTGCACTGTACTTTCATTTAATTAGCTGGCAGGCCCCCCGAGGTCCCCTCCCAAAGAAATCCCTAGCTACGGGACTGGGTCAGCTTAAAGTGAAAGTCTTCCTTTTGGATTTTTTTTTTGGGGGGGTAAGCCTTATACCATGGACCGGTTAAACTAGTCCCCACTGGTTGCACAAGTAAAAGCTAGTAAGAGTATGCTATCCTCATCCAATGGCCAAAGAACAAGGTTGAAAAAATAATAAAATCAGGAATGGTGACAACATTTCCAGTGCATCCATAGAAAGTGTGTGTGTCTCCCCCAATCACATCACCACCTCTTGGCAGTCACACCTATTAGATCGCGCTAACAAAGGACTCGCAGAGATTAAAGCACCAATCGCTACACAGCATCTAACTCATGGTTGATGGCAATTTCCACCTTCACAATCAGTACTTTTTAGTCTGACTCACAGATCATATGTGAATCCCATCCAAAGTATGGAAATAACATTAGGACAAACAAGCTCTGGAGGTATGGTGAATGTGTTTGATCCCTAAATCTTTTATCATTATAGCTCCATTGAAGTCTTTGTATTCCTACAGGCTGGCTGGTGAAAAGACAGACAAGAGTCTTGTTGTACCTTAAAGTTTAACAGGTTTTTATTCTAGCACATGATTCCATGGACTACAAACTGCTTTATCAGATGACTCCGAACATGCTCCATTCTTATTTTATCAAGGACAGTGCATAATGTTTGAGGGTATTGCTGGATTTATAAAAGTCCAGTGGCTCACTACAGTGGTATCAAGCTAAAAAAGTTTAGCTCGGATGTTCAGTCCTTTGGGCTTCAGTAACCATGTAGAAACTACTGTTGGGCTTGTGATTATGTTTGCGAAATCCAGCTTGGGAAATTCCTGGAGATTGGGGGGAACTGTGCATGATGAGAACAGAGGGCTCAGCGGGGACATGAAGCTTCTCCAAGTCTTCTCTTTCTCCTAAACGCTATGATATACCATAGAGTTTGCTCTCTGAAGTTCCATTTCCTCCAGGGGAACTGATCTCTGTAGCTTGAAGGTCCGTCGTGATTCCAGGACCATTCCAGTCCCCACCTTGAAGATGCTAACCTTATTTGTGATGAAGTACTGAATCATAATTTCTATGATTGTAAACTTAGTTTAGAATCATAGAAATGATTCAGTACTCCATCACAGGAGGGACTGAGTGCCCCTTTCCAGTTCCAGTAACGAGATACAAACATGCAAGAGAGAAAATGGGGAGAGTGGGAAGAACATGAAAATCTTTCTTCTAATTTGATGAGGGATCAGGCCAGCCTGATAAATAAAGGCATATCTAAGGCTGATTGGATCAGCTTGGCAGCCTTTATACTGGGTTTGTTCCAGTTCTTTGTACAGAGAACATGAAGTTTAATTTTTTTTTTTTTAAGTAACATGGGGGGAGGAAGAGAGATACATTCTGGAAAGATGCTAAGGAAATCCACAGCCATGGATGCTACCCAAATATTCCCAACGTAAACATTCTTTTGAAAGCCAGTGCAGTGTTTGCCTTATTTTTTCCACTTTATACAGGGTTTACATGATCACTAATTAGCAAGGGATTCCCCGTTTTATATAGTCGAGGAATAATTACAGCTGTGTCTGCACTAAATCTGTCTACAAAATCATGTAACTGAAGCAGTGCGACTTCATGGACAGCTGTGGAAGTATTTATTTATTTATTTATTTATTTTTGGGATTTATATCCTGCCCTACCTGTACAGCCCAGGGCGGCAAACAAGCGACAATTGCCGAGAATAAAACATAAGTTACATTAAAACCTCAATAAATACAACTAAAATGGTGCTCAACAATTCATTTCCAAAATTCATTTAAAATTCAGTTTAAACATTCAAGATGGACGATATCCCTCACTGGCGGCCGACGATAGAGAACGCAGGAGCGCCAGAGTAATGTTCCTCGGTCTGGGCAACGTCTACTCCCCCCCCAAGGCCAGGTAGATGGTAAAGCAGTACATGGTGACAGATGGAAATCTTTGCGGGCTCCCTGCCAGGGATGCTAAAAAGCACTGTGGTTCTCAATCAAGTCCTCTGGCAGCAAGGCCAAGTGCCTTCTCCCTGGTACCAGTACGGCAACTTGCAGAAAAAAGGAACCTATTGGACCAATCTCCATTGCACTTCAGCACCTCCATGGCATGTGGTTAGAAGATGCAAATGCAGCTACCAGTCCAGTGGAGATCATGTGGCAAAAGGTGCAATAGGGACCCTTCTGACCATATAAAACTCCTGTTTCTGGCCCAGGCCTCTCCCTCAGCTATTCTCAAAAACTATAGTAAGTTGGAAGTAGGTCCCTCTTCAAAAGTTTGAGAACCATTGAGTTGGAGGATGTTTGGGCTGTGAACAGACTTTGCCTTTGTACAGAAAACAAGAAGATGCACTTCAGAAAGAGGTCCGACGTTAAGGGAAAAGGTTAACATGGGTGATTTCTGCAGCAAATTTTTGTATAATGTAAAGCTAAAGCATTCAGAAATGTTCCCCATTTGGAATTTTGTTTTCAAATGGTATGCCCCCCTGAGCCTTTCAAATAGGGTGGGGGATTTTAAACAAACAAAGGAAGGAACATAACATGCAAAGCAGCTTCAGTCTCTAGGGTCTGATGATGTAAGTACTCAGGAATCCTTATCGCAGAGTTAGGAGATGACATCTTCTATCTGTAATGCAGCAGAGGCACCAGGGTGGTTCAACTCTACTCCCTTGTGGACTTCCACAGACTATTCACAATGATACCTAGGGGCCTCCCAGCTCCACAACACCTCTGCAAACCAGAACTAACAAGACTGCTTGTTTTCACATTATTATTTTTACACAGAAGCAAATCAGAATCTTTTGTGTGTATAAGGCAGTGCAAGCTCCAGACTCTGGAGAGCCCTTGGGCATGGCTTCCAAAAGAGCCAGGGCATAGAAACATTCTTTCATACTGATTTCTTGGGTACAAAGCCAGAATGGTGGCCATGATGGGTTGGTGAGGCAAGGACCTCTCTTGGGGCCCTACAAATACCAATTTCTAGCCTCTTTCACAAAGTCATATGTTATGTCCACTGACCGCCACCAGGGGCCAGCGAATACTCCTGCGCTTGAATCTGTACAAACAATAGGGACTAGGCTCCTAGTCTCTTCGCTTGGGAACCAATAGGACCATGGCGGGAGATTTGAACCCACCAATCGGACCTAGGGGGTGTCCCCCAGGTGTGCATATAGTTGGCCACCCGGCCAGTATTCTGTGTTCTTGTTGTGTACTAGTAAACCATGCTGATCACTGCATCCATCTATGTGGTTTCTACATGCGTCTAACCCACTACACTTCATCATAGCATACTGATTACACCTGTGTCATATCAAAAATTGCCATTACTTTCTCAAACACCTGTATAAAAATAAGAAGCTGAAGTAACTTTCCCCCCAGGGCCAGTTTGGTGTAGTGGTTAAGTGCGCAGACTCTAACCTGGAAGAACCAGGCTTGATTCCCCACTCTTCCACTTGCACCTGCCGGATGATCTTGGGCAAGCCATAGTTCTGTGAGAGCTGTTCTTGAAAAAGAGCAGTTTCTGTCAGAGCTCTCTCAGCCCCACCTACCTCACAGGGTGTCTGTTGTGGGGAGGGGAAGGGAAAGGAGTTTGTTCCGTCTGACTGGGAACCCTGACACTCTGAGACTCCAAGTGAAGGGCGGGGTATAAATCCGATCTCCTCCTTCTCCTTCCTCTTCTTCTTCCCTTCATAATTGTGTGTGTGTGTGTGTATGCAGGGTAGCCACTTCATGCATTTGCTGAAATGGACTCCAGGTAACAAAACGTATGCTAGAGCAAAAAGTAATTATTAAGGTGCCAAAAACATCTACTTAATTTTTTTTGTAGAATCATAGAGTTGGAAGGGACGATTTTCGGAGGCATCTGGATCGAGGCGGATTGGCAGTGCAGTTGCTGTTGGACCTGTCAGTGGTAGTCGACACAGTCAAACATCAGCTACTGATTCACCACCTTGCCGATACTGGAGTTCAGGGGCTCGCCTTACAATGACTTGCATCCTTTCTCCAGGTCTGGGGACAAAGGGTGGCACTAGGGGATCAGCTGTCCTGAAGGCATCCACTGTTGTGTGCAGTGCCCTAAGGGGCAGTTCACTCCCCAATGTTATTTAACATCTATATGCACACCCTTGCCCAGATTGCCCAAAGACATGGGATTGGGTGTCACCAGTATGCAGATGACACCCAGCTCTGTTGTTGGACGGCCAGTCTGACTCCACACCGGAAGATCTAGACCGAGCGTTGCAGACTGTGGCTGGTTGGCTTAGACTGAGTCATTTGAAATTGAATCTGATGGAGGTCCTGTTCCTAAGTCAAAACGGTCCAGGGGTAGGGATTCCACTCCCAACCTTTGATGGGGCTCCGTTAGGAGCTTGGGAGTGCTCTTGGATGCCTCAACAATGGAGGCCCAAGTAGCAGCCACTGTCAGATCAGCTTTTTACCATCTTTGGCTGGTTAGGCAGCTGATTTCCTTCCTCGAACATAACGACTTGGCAACAGTGATCCATGCGATGGTCACCTCAGGACTGGACTACTGTAACACTCTCTACATGGGGCTGCCCTTGTCTCAAATCTGGAAGCTGCAGTTAGTGCAGAATGTGGCAGCCAGGCTGTTGATGGGTATCCCCATGTGGGAACACACCCAGCTGGTACTGAAAGCACTATACTGGCTGCCAATAACATACCGGATTTGTTTCAAGGTGCTGGTTTCAACCTTTAAAGCCCTATAAGGTCAGGGTCCGGCATATCTGAGGGACTGCCTTTCCCAACATGTTCCCCAGAGAGCACTGCATTCAGGGGCACAAAATCGGCTAGCCCTCCCAGGCCCCAGGGACGTCAGACTGGCGGCAACCAGGACCAGGGCCTTCTTGGTGGCTCCATCCCGGTGGAATGAGCTCCTGGAAGAGATCAGGGCCCCGCGGGACCTTCTACAGATCTCCAGGACCTGCAAGACGGAGCTCTTCCACCAGGCATTCGACTAAGGTGCCGCACTACACACTGGGGGAGTATCCCTGTGCCCTGGCTTTCCAACCTGTAACCTGGGTCCTATCATCATGGTTCCTAGCCTGTGCTCGCCGCATAATAAATGAGAACAGCACTGGTGTGAAAGTATTGACATCCAACAGTCACCTAAACTATGTTATAAAAACTGTTGTGCCTGTTGCTTGAGTCTGTTCCAGCGTTTTATGTGTTTATGTTTTAAATGACTATTATTTTAAGTAATTTATATGCCTATGATAGGTTTTTTATTGTATTTAATTGTATTTTATGAACTGTTGTAAGCCGCTCTGAGCCTGCCTCGACGGGGAGGGCGGGGTATAAATTAAACAATAAATAAATAAATAAATATCTAATCCAACTCCCTCCACAATGCAGGAAATTCACAAATACCTCCCCCTCCACACACCCATGCCCAGAAGATGACAAAAAACCTCCAGGATCGTCAGCCAAACTGACCTGGCAAAAAATTGCTTCCTGACCCCAAAGTGGCGATCAGTATTTTCCTGGGTGTGTAAGAAAGGGCCACAAGAACTAAGCACTTATGCAACCTGTCCTCCCTCTCATGATCTGCCTAACTTCACAGAATCAGCATTGTTGTCAGGGTCCGCTCTAACTGTCAGGAAGTTCTTCTGAATGTTTAGCTAAAAACTCTTGTGATTTAATTTCAACCCGTAGGTTCTGGTCCGACCTTCTGGGGCAACAGAGAACAACTCTGCGCCGTCTTCTATATGACAGCCCTTCCAGTGCTTGAAGATGGTGATCATATTACCTCTCAGTTGTCTCCTCTTCAGGCTAAACCTAACCAGCTCCTTCAACCTTTCCTCATAGGACTTGGTCTCCAGACCCCTCACCATCTTCATTGCCCTCCTCTGGACATGTTCCAGCTTGTCTATATCCTTCTTAAATTGTGGTGCCCAAAACTGAACTCAGTACTCTAGGTGAGATCTATCCAGAGCAGAGTAAAGTGGTACTTTGCGTGATCTGGACACTATACTTTGGTTGATACAGCCCAAAATTGCATTTGCCTTTTTAGCTACCGCACCATATTGCTGACTCATGTTCAGTATATGGTCTGCTAAGACCCCTAGATCCTTTTCACACATACTGCAGCCAGGTCTCCCCAATCCTATAATTATGCATTTGATTTTTCCTACCTAAATCCTGACCTTTACGTTTATCTCCTGACTCTGCCTTCTATCATATTTGCTACCCCAAGCGGTTGTTCTCCCAGGATAATGTGATCCATATAATCAGGTCCAGAATATGTTACTGCCATCTTATAAGCCTTCGATTCAAACCTAATCCTAATGACTATAAATTGACTGAAAAACAGTGACAACCCTAGTTATTGTAGGAGCCTTTATCTTAATATTAAAGCACCAGAAACAGAACCCTCATGGAAACAAAGCCGGCTCAACTGATGGTCTTGTGTAGATTGATCTAAACTGTCTCTTGAGAAGATCTTTCTTCTTATAGCCAAGGTGTTTGGTGTAGTGGTTAAGTGTGCGCACTCTAATCTGGGAGAACCGGGTTTGATTCCCCACTCCTCCACTTGCATCTGCTGATGTGACCTTGGGTCAGTCACAAGCTCTGGCACAGCTGTCCTTGAAAAAGAGCAGTCTCTGTCAAGAGCTCTTTCAGCCCCCACCCACTTCACAGGGTGTCTGTTGTGGGGAGGGGAAGGGAAAGGAGTTTGTAAGCCGCTCTGAGACACCTTTGGGTAGTGAAGGGCGGGGTATAAAATCCAATCTCTTCTTCTCTTCTTCTGTACCAGAGCTCCAGCAGCTCAATTCAAACCACCTTTACACAAAATAACTGATTTTAATGGGACTTAATTCCAAACAAGTATGTGTAAGAGTGAAGCCTCAATATCACACAGACTATATCATGAGCCAAAATGACTTTGAGCCAGTCACTGCCATTCAGGAATAAACACATTTTGAATCAATCCACATTTGGAAATGATTTCAAAGTTGCAGTATTTTTTTTAAAAAAGCAACCAAACTGGTTTAAATGCTGCACCAATTATGTTCAGAGCCTGCATCTTGAAATAGTTTAGAATTCATTCTACTTCATATCCATCCAAATCAATTTGGTCAAGATACCAAGCCAGCCTTGCCAATTCTGGCACTTGAATCCTGGGAATTGCATATCTGAGGGGATGTTAATCTCTCTTGCCATGGTGCTATGGAGATAAAAGAAGCTTTGTCTATCACACAGCCAGTCCAGGTTTCTGTGAGCCCAATTTTCCAACTCATTATACTAATTCATTAAACAAGTCCATCTTCCCATACTCTTGGTTCATTCCCTTAGCATCTTTTAAAGTTCAAATGACTAGCCTACTGGTTCCCAACGGGTGCATTGGTACCAACAAATATGTCAGTTAGTGCCCACTTGCTTTTTCTGCAAGCCATCTGTTCCCCAAAGCAAAGAAGAGAAGAAGAGATTGGATTTATACCCCACCCTTCACTACCAAAAGGAGTCCCAGAGTGGCTTACAATCCCTTCCCCTTCCCCTCCCCACAACAGGCACCCTGTGAGGTAGGTGGGGCTGAGAGAGCTCTCTTGAGAACTGCCCTTGAGAGAACAGCTCTGAGAGAATTTGTGACTGACCCAAGGACACACCAGCAGCTGTATGTGGAGGAGTGGGGAATCAAACCAGGTTCTCCCAGATTAGAGTCCACGCTCTTAGCTACTGTACCAAACTGGCTCTCAAAGAGCCAATCCTGGCTTTCCTTCACTTTTTTGAAGTAGGGGGTAGTTCAGAAGAGCCTGGAAGCATGACATCTTCACTGTGTCTGCAGGGAGCATCCATTCAGAAACAGCTGCTCCCATCATTAGGAGGAATCAGATGATTGGCTTGGAGCTTCCTAAATATTTTGTAGAATCTTCCAATGTTTTAGGTGAACGGGCCAAGCCCCTTTGGCAGTCATTTTGTGATTAGTCCCACCACTATCCTTTGGAAGCCATTTTGTTGTGGTGCGCATTAACTTTTTAAAAATTCCCAAACTCGCAGGTTCAACAAGAACAAACTGGTACTAAAGTGTTTTTCCTCCACTCTGGCAATGCTAAGAGGATGATTGTTTTAGTTCTGAAGTAATAAAAGATTATACCAAAAAGAAGGCATCTGTATTTAATTAACTAACTGGTGGCTTCTCTTAGACTTGTGCTGTTTGCAAAATAGAAACCCATTGAGAAGTGTGCAGACAGGATCATGACGGGTACATTAAAAAATAAACTCCTACCAAAGTAACAATGGTAACAGAGATCATATTGTGGATTCTCACCCTGCAATGTTGGCCATTGAACTTAGGGCATCATATCCTTGAGCAATGGTGACTCGAGGAACTTGGTCCATGGCCAAGACAGTGGCTTTGCGCTGAGCAAGTTTGTCCAGGAGATCTGGATTCTGTGCTGGATAGATGAAGCTGACCAGAATCGCCTTCTCTTTCAGCAGGGTTGCTTCATGTACTCCCAATGCTTCATTTAAGACCGGAGCTCTGACCTTATGGGAGAAACCAAATGCTGCATTTTATTGCTTCACTGAAACCAATGTCTCTTTTTCCTAGTTATTTAAATGTAATCTTTTGCAAAACATATAGACGAAGCCTAGGCAACCTGCGGCTTTAGAGCAAAATATGGCTTGATACAGAACCAGATATGGCTCTTTAAAAAGAAAAAAGAAATAAGTTCTATTAGAGTGGCTGGGAGGATGTGAGAATAACCAGCATGTAAAGGGCAGGGCAGGGCAGGGCAGGGCAGGGATGCTCCTTAAAGCTTGCCATAGTCCTGTGAGAAGTCATTTTGACTGCTGCTGCAGGATCACAACCATAAATGGCACAAGGATGGTAATGGTTCCAAGCCAAGGTGGATTTGGGGATATTGTAAGTATTACCTAAAGATGATATTTGCTTCCTTCACCAGACAGAGGAAGAGAAGCAGATTGTCTAACATTGATCAGCAAAATGCCAAAGATGAGAACACCATACGGAACACATGAAGGTGTCTGATACTAACAGTGCAGTCCTAAGCAGAGTTACTCCCCGTTTAAGCCAATGGGCTTTGAAGTGTGTAACTCTGTTTAGGACTGCATTGTAAATCCATCAGGCCTAATACTGTCTACTCTGGGTGACAGGACAAATTGCCTGCACATCTTCCTTAGGCGCTAGTCTACAGATGACTTGAGAGCCAGTTTGGTGTAGTGGTTGAGTGTGTGGCCTCTAATCTGGGAGAACCGGGTTTGATTCCCCACTCCTCCACTTGCACCTGGCTGGATGACCTTGGGCAGGCTTAGTTCTGATAAGAGCTGTCCTTGAAAAAGAGCAGTTTCTGTCAGAGCTCTCTCAGACCCATCTACCTCACGGGGTGTCTGTTGTGGGGAGGGGAAGGGGAAGGAGTTTGTAAGCCACTCTGAGACACCTTTGGGTAGTGAAGGGCGGGGTATAAATCCAATCTCTTCTTCTTCTTCTTCAAAATGGTGGGGGACCATGGCTTAGTAGCAGAACATCTGCTTGGTGTGCAGAATGTCCCAGGCTTATTTCCGAGCATCTGCAGTTAAAAGGATCAGGTAACAGGCATTGTGGAAGAGCTCTTATTGAGAGTGACTTGGCCTGGAGACCACAGCCTGTGACCCAAGAGAGCCTCTGCCACTCAGAGTAGACTACTGACCTCGATAGATCAATGGTCTGACTTAGTGGGAAGGCAACTTCATGTGTTCACATGAACACATGAAGCTGCTTCATAATGAATCAGACCACTGGTCCATCAAAGTCAGTACTGTCTACTCAGACCGGCAGAGGCTTTCCAGGGTCTCAGGCTGAGGTCTTTCACATCTCTTCCTACCTGATCCTTTTAACTGGAGATGCCAGGGATTGAACCTGGAATGTACCACTTCATATTGCAAGTGAAGTTATTACATGTTTCAGTGCTCCTGTATGGAGAACATCCCTGCACATAGGATATTTTATGTCACAGAGAGGACAAGAATAGATCTCCCTTTTCCAAAACAGTTTTCTTCACAAAGAACAGAAATTTTCAGAGGTTTGTCCATCATCTTGATAACTACCTCTTGCAAATCTTTGGGGAACACAAGGTCCAGTTGGGATCATTGTGCTTCAGAACTTTGAAGTCCTATTGTGCTCATGTCTTTACGGATACATCCAACAAAGGTTTATTCAAAGTATGAGCTTTGTTGGTCTCAGGGCTCTTTTTGTAGAAAAAGCCCAGCAGGAACTCATTAGCAAAATAGGCCACACCCAACAGCAGAAACTCATTAGCATATTGGGCCACGCCCCTGCCAGCACAGCTCATTAGCACATTAGGCCACACCCCCATGTTACCAGAAGTGTGGTTATCCAGCCACACCCACCTTTTGCTTGTTATTCTGTTTACCTTGTTTGTTGTCAAAACCCAGGGCCTTTTTTTTATAGCAGGAACTCCTTTGCATGTTAGGCCACACACCCCTAATGTAGCCAGTCCTAATGAGTTTCTACTGTTGGGTGTGGCCTATTATGCCAGCCGGAACTCCGTTCCTGTGCGTTCCTGCCCAAAAATAGCCCTGGTTGGTCTTAAAGGTGCCACTGGACTCTAAATTTGTTCTATGTCTTTACAGAAACACTCTTCCTCATAAAAGATAAATATATATGGCATATTTGCATTATGGCTGGTAAAGGTAAAATTGTCAAGATATGGAAAATTTACTTAGAAATACAAGAAATAATGCAGAAATACAAGAAGCAATGCACCATCTAGCCTGGATTAACCATTTTTATGTTCTATTGATGTTAATGAGGAATTGTGCTTAATCCACTCACATTAAAATCAGGTTCTATTAATATTTATTTTGTGGTAGGGTCTGAGTGAGTCACTGCTCATTTCTTCAGATACAGCTAGAATTGTGAGCAATGTTCCCTCTAAGCTATGGAGTCTTGTGAGAAAAACTTCTACTTTGTGAGCTACTGGCATTAAAGTTGTGAGCGAGCCATTTGGCTGCTGCATAAATTAGTTTGCTCTGGAGCCACCTCTCCTGAGCTAAGACAAAAATGTGTGAGCTGGAGGCTAAAAAACTGTGAGCTAGCTCACACTAACTCAGCTTAGAGGGAACACTGATTGTGAGTCCATCTGTCCTATATATTGGAAGGTGGAGTGATTTCAGATGCCAAATGACATTAGCAGGCAAATGTGATACACAGAGGTAGTAGGCGTGGAGAAATTAGCATTGGTAATGGTGAAGAAGTAAGCAGTGACTCACAAAAACTCATCCCTTACCACAAATTTTGTTAGTCTTTAAGGTGCTACTGGACTCTTTTCTACTGCTACAGACACACTAACATGGCTACCCATCTTGATCTATTAACACTTATTGTAGGTTCCATGGAAACTAAAATGGTATTTACTTCTGAGTAAACATGCTTAGGGAGGCATTGCATAGTTCTTACTTTGAGCTGGATGAGTCCTAATGATGAGACCAAAGGTCATTCTGGTCCTGCATCCCATTTTTCTGTAGGGGCCACCAAAATCTCCCTAGAAAACCTACAAGCATGGTATAGAGGCCAAGCTCTCCCCCGATATTGCCCTCTCACAGCTATTATTAAGAGTTACACTGCTTTTGAAAGGGAAGTCCCAATTCATCCATGGATCCTCACTTATCCTCCATTAATTTGTTTGATCCTCTCTTGAAACCATCTAAGCTGAGCTGGCTGCTAATATCTCTCTGATACTTAAGTGTTCTGCCATGTTCTTATTACCACAGAGGAATCCTTCTTTTCTTTTGCAAAGGTACCTTTAAAACAATATCAGATCCAAACACAGATTTTAGCTCCCCAATTTTGGCTCCAGCCACTTGGTACTGCTCATCAGAGAACTTCGACTCTTCACCAGCTCCATGTTCCAACTGTACATTAAAGCCTTGCTTAACTAAGGCTTGGACTCCAGCAGGGGAAAGAGCGACTCTCTTCTCATTTTTGTATATTTCCTTGGGAACGCCAACAACAAGATCCTTGTAGCGAACTCCTAAAACAAATGAAAACGGACAAAAGAAAGAGTCAAAGTAATAACGTTTACCTAGCATATTGCAAATTTACAGAGTGCTTTGCATGCATCAGAGGTCCTCACAAACAGTCCAGGAAGCCCTACTGGTCCTGCCAATAGAAAACTGGCTACTTTAGATTCATCCCGAGTTTTCCTTCTCAATCAGCTTTGCCCCAAATTTCTTATATTTGGCGCCTGCTGTCCCATCTCCCCTCCCCTCCTCCCCTCTGTTGTTGCTTCCCCAACTCTGACTCTTGCACTCTCATGTAATTATGCTTTAAAGCAGTCTCCATGGTGATTTTTGTTCATCTCTGAATACCTCTGAATTCAGCGCTTTGTTTCTAAGTCCATAAAGTATGG